CTTCTTGCCCAAATAAGGGAAAATATAACAGGAGCGTTCTATCGCCCCCCCACAAATGATTTTAGCTAATTTGTAGAATTGTGTAGCCATTACTCCAATTCAGTTATAGAACATTTTCATTACCCAGAGGTTCCTTTGTGCCTTCATTTCAGGCAACCAATTATTTGATTTTTGTTTCTATAAATTTGCCTTTTTAGACAATATATGTAGATGCAATCTTACAATTTGTAGTTTTTTTGCATCTGACTGCTTTCATTTAACATAAGGCTTTTGAGGTTTATCAGTGTCAGAGCATACATCAATAGTTCATTCCTTTTAATTGCTAAGTAGTATTCCATTGCATAGATAAACCACATTTTGTTTATGCACTTACCCAGTTAATGGACATGTGGATGGTTTCCAGTACTGGCTGTTACAAATAGCTATTATGAAACATGACTGTAAACATTCACATCATTGGGCAAATCCCAGTTCTCTTGAGTGGGTTCCTGGGAAGGCACTTGCAGAGTTGTGTGATAAGGTTCTATTTTATGTCTTAAAAACTGCTGTATTGTTTTCCAAAGTGTCTGTGCTATTTTATTATCCCCAGTAGCAATGTGTGAAGTCCATTTTTTTCTACATCCTAACCAATACTTGGTATTGTCTGACTTTTTGATTACAGACTGTCCCTGACATAACGATGGTTCGACTTAGGATTTTTCAACTTTACAATGATGTGAGAGCAATGCACACTCAGTAGACACTGTTCGCCGGAGTTTTGATCTTTCCCCTGGCTGGGCTATATGGTACAATATTCTCTATTAATACTGGGCAGTGGCAGCCAGCTGTAGCTGCCAGTCAGCTTTGTGATCACAAGTGTATTGTTTGCCCACACTTTTTGGATATTGTATTCTGTGTTTTTATAAAATCTGGTCATGTCTGCAAAGCGTCCATCTGCATCTCCTGCCTCTGGGGAAAAGAAGAGGAGGAAGGCAATTACTCTTGAGATGAAACTCAAAATAATTGCCCAGCATGAAGGTGGCAAACCCGTAATGGTCATCTCACGTGAGTTAGGACTTTCCCAGTCCACCATCTCGACCATCCTAAAGGATAAGAAGCGAATCAGCGATGCAGTGAAATCATCAGCATCAATTAAGTCCACTGTCATCACTAAGAAAAGAGCTGGGCCAATTGATGATATGGAAAAATTGCTAGTCGAGTGGATAGAGGAGCAGGTACAGAACCGCATACCACTTAGCCTACTGATGATCCAGGCAAAGGCAAGGAGTCTTTTCAATATGCTAAAGGAGCATGCCGATCCTACGTATACACAGATGTTTACAGCAAGTCATGGATGGTTCCAGCGTTTCAAAAAGCGTCATAATTTTCATACTGTTAAGGTCACTGGTGAGGCAGTATGTGCTGATATTGAATGTGCTGAAGCTTTTAAGGAAGAGCTGCACAGGATAATTGTGGAACAGAAATATTTGCCAGAACAAATATTTAACGTTGATGAAACAAGTTTGTTCTGGAAGCGAATGCCAGAGTGTACATACACTGATCAAGAGTCCAAGGCAATACCAGGACTCAGAGACCATGTAACACTGCTTTTGGGTGGAAATGTTGCGGGGTTCAAATTAAAGCCTTTTCTAATCTACCACTCGGAGAACCCTAGAGCCTTCAAGAATGTGAGCAAGCATACACTTCCTGTTCACTATCGCCATAACAAGAAGGCCTGGATGACGTCAGCATTGTTTGAAGACTGGTTCTTGAACTGCTTTATTCCACAAGCAAAAGAATATTGTAGGCAAAACAACATTGCATTTAAGATTCTTCTGATCTTAGATGATGCCCCGGGGCATCCACGGCACATTGGCACAATGCATCCTGATGTCAAAGTTGTATATTTACCGCTGAACATAACCACACTCATTCAACCAATGGACCAAGGTGCCATAGCTGCTTTCAAAGCACAGTACTTACGTCAGACATTTGCTCAGGCTGTCGAAGCAACTGAATCCGGCCAAACGCTTCTGGAGTTTTGGAAAGGGTTTAACATTCTGAATGCTATCCAAAACATTGCTGCAGCATGGGAAGAAGTCACAGAGCAGTGCATGAATTTTGTTTGGAAGAAAGTTTTGAAGACATGTGGGAACACATTCAACGGCTTTAACAAAGATTGTGCTGTTGATGAAATAGTAACTAATAAGATATTAATGCTGGGAAAACAGCTAGAATTAGACATCAATGAAGAGGATATTCATGAGATTGTCAGCATTAAAACTGAGGAGATTTCAGGCGAGGAACTGATTGAATTGCAGGAAGAAAGAAGTAAAAATGTTGAACCAGAGGAAGAGGTCATACCCAACCCACTAAAACAGTTTACAACAAAAAAACTGGCAGAGGCATTTGCTACTATCGGCAAGGGCATGAGGATGTTAGAAGCAATGGATGGCAATTATGAGAGATTTGCAAGAGCTGACAGGCAGGTACAGGATGCTCTTGTTTGTTATAGAGAAATATATAACGAGAAGAAGAAACAAACTGTATGTTCACAATTTGATAGCATTATGAAAAACACAAAGCCTGCTAAGTCATCAACTAAGGTCAATGCCCCCATGCCTTCTACCAACTATTCTCAAGCCTCCCCAGAAGGGAGGGAGATTGATAACCCTGGAACTATAGCATTCACATCATCCAACAATACATTTTAAGTTTAGTGCTTCAGCATTCTTCAGGCCAAGTGTGTTTTCAGCTGTGTGCGTTAATGGTAAGTACCCATATAACCATTCTTTTTCAGTATAGTATTTGATAAACTACATGTGATAATCAGCACTTCTTATAAGATAGGCTTTATGACAGGTGATTTTGCCCAACCATGGGCTATTGTAAGTTTTCTTAGCATAATTAAGGTAGGTCATCTAGGATCTTATGTTCAGAGAACTAATATATTGAATACATTTTTAACTTATGTATATAGGTTTGTCTGAATGGAACCCCTCCATGAAGAGCATCTGTGCCACTGTTCTGGTTGGTGTGATGTTGTCTCATTGTAATTTTAATTTGCATTTCCCTCAAGACTAATGGTGTTGGGCAGCTTTTCATTGCTTAATTAGCTCTTCCTGTATCTTTGGTAAAATGTCAATTCAAATCTTGTGCCCATTTTTTTTTCATCTGTTTTACAAATTGGATTATTTGTTATTTATTTACCATTGCTGGCACTAAACACCTGACACCCACAAGTTATAGAAGAAAAGGTTTGTTTGACTCAGTTTGTCGAGATTTCAATCCATAGTTGGCTGACTCCCAGGCAGGGTGGTGTAGCAGAGGGGTATCGCAGAGGAGCAGCAGTTCATGGTATGGCAAGCAGAAAACTGCAGCTCTCGGAGTGGGAGGGATATAGATCGATCGATCGATCTATCTATCTATCTATCTATCTATCTATCTATCTATCTATCTATTGTCCATCTATTCTACACCCACAGCGGCCCACCTCTTTGCACCAGGCTTTTTATTTTAGAATTCTGAGATTTTTCATTTGAAAGTAATCTTAATGTTATTAAATTCACAAATATGCTAATTTAAATACCCAATGCTATTTTATCTAAAACACACATTGCAAACATACAGATATCTATTCTCTCCACATGTTAGTGTCCATTTATATCATGGTTTGAAATGGAGAGAGTAGATTTATTCTCTTAATCTGCAAATCAGTAGGTGCTTCTTTAGTTAACTTTAGCAAAATTCATGCAAAGTAGTAATTAGTAGTGTTCTTCTTTACTTGTTAATTAGCAAGTAAACACCTTCAAAACTGCATTTTGTTAAAGTTGTAATTTTAACGTGTAGAAAAACTGAACTACACAAATATTGAAGATAAAATTCCTTATTTTTTTATTCCTGGTACCACTGCCACAATTTACAGGGCAATATACCTAATGTAATAGAAAGAAAAAGAGACCTACAACTGATAAAAAACCTCAGGAATGTACATCTAATTGGTACTACATTGAGTTAACCAATAGCTGTGAAGGGTTTCATGTTGAAGCTGCAGTAACTTTTCTGATTATGGATCATCATCATTCCTTCCATGGCAGATTTTTTACAGTTCTTCTTATGCGTTTGGGAAGACCTCTCAAAGTAACCTGCAGCTTTCCTGACAACTCACTCCCTCTCCTGCCAAGAACTGTGTCCCTTTTCTGTTGTGTTTTAAAAACTTTCTGCTGCCATATCTACTACTTCCACCACCAGATCTATAACCATCCCCATAGGGACTTCTGCAGCTTCTTCCACCAAAACTGACCAACTTTATGGGTCATAATCTGATTGCTGTTGTCCACTGTAATTTCCAGAATCATTATAGTTCCCACCACCACCATAGTTCCCACCACCAGAATTTCCTCCTTCCTTGGAACCATCATAACTTCTTCCACCACCACCATGT